AGGCTGGCTCTGAGGAAGGATTTCTGTGCAGAAGGGGCTGTTGGGCGTTGGAATGGGCTGCCCAGGGCAGGGGGGAGTCCCCGGGATCCCTGGGGGGGTTGAAGAGTCGGGCTGAGCCAGCGCTGAGGGATCTGGGGGAGTTGGGAACGGTCAGGGGGAGGCTCATGGCTGGGCTGGAGGAGCTGCGAGGGCTTTTCCAGCCCAGATGGTTCTGGGGTTCTAGAATATAAATGAAATACGACTTCTGCACTGACAAGAGCTGCAGTTCCTCCTCAGCAGCCTGGCCCCAGCAGTGGAATTTGCCAAACTTGCCAGGGGCTGGAGACCGGCCCGAGGCCAGTGACTGCCCCCTTCACCAAAGTCCCCCCCGCAGGGCTCCCAAATCTGCACTGGGAAAGGAAGAGGAGGGGGCACCTCCGGAGCGCGCCCGCTCCCCGGCAACAGCGCAGCCCCACAGCCATCGTACACCGGCTCGCTGCCACCTCCCTGCACCTGCCAGGAGAGCTTACAGCAGTGCTGGGGGTAGTTTACTGCAATAAAATGATAATGAAGTAGGATAACAGAAACCAACCATAATATTTGTGTACAATATTATTACTGAACTCTAAAAACACACCCCAGGAGTGCATCATATTGTATTTATTAGAGACAACCTTAGAATACACTGGATTGAAACCTCCAAAAATTAATACTCCTGCCCAGCACTTTTTTTTTTTTTTTTTTTTTTTTTTTTGCGTCTCCTGTGTCCTGCTGCCTCCCCACTCCCCTGCTCCTCTGCAGCCATTGGTGAAGGTTCCAGTAAGCAGGGCTGGTGGGTGATGGCAAGCTGGGCCTGGGTAGAGCAAGCAGGGACTTGGTAAGCCGGGTTTAGCGACCTACAGAGCCACAGGCTCTGGGCAGTGCCAGGAGTTTTATTCAGAGAGAGAGAAAAAGGTGAGACCTTCCCCCTCCGCAGCAGGGAGCCTCCGTGTGCGAGTGCCCTGGCGCACGACACAGCTGCTAGGGAGACAGAGGCTGTGCAAGAAATACTTAAAGAGGTGATTTTACCTCTCCTGTGCTTATTTAAAGAAGAAACAAAAAACCCAAAACAAACCCAAGCCAAAATCCAAACAATCCAGCCCACAACAAAGCAGCTATGTATTTCTTAGGAAAAAAAAAAAAACAACTTTCAACGTTGCAGTGCTCAGCACCACGGGTCCCTCTTCCCCTCCAGCACCCAGCTGCAAATCCTGCTGCATCACTGGACTTTTCCTTATTTTCCATCCAGAAATAAACGATCCATTGATCCAGGGATCAACGTCATGGGGCACAGAAACGCCCAGGGGCTTGGAAAGTAAAATAACTCTGTGACTGTGGGGCGAGGGGCCCACGCAGCGACGTCAGCTGCCTCAGGATAACACGGACACGCCGCAGCGTCTCCGTTTCACTCGGAGCAGGGCAAGGGCAGAACCCAGAGCAGACACCGAGCGGGTTCCACCGGCTGTGCCAGCAGGATTCGGGCAGGGCCAAGGGCCCTAAATCTGCTCTAGACTCAGTTAACCCTGCGCCTGCAGGTGTCTGTGCAACAATTAGGTGAATCACTGAATCATTTTGGGTTGGAAAAGCTCCTTAAGAGGTGAAAACGGGGACCCCAGCCCCCGATTCCTCAGGGCTTGGCCCTGACGCCAGGACACGGCAGGACAACGGGTGGTTAGGTTTCAAGAACCAGGTGATACAAATTTTACATATTATACAGTCCCGTTCCAGTAAACTGCAAAGCGAAACTCTGTAAACATCTTCCCAATTCAAAAAAAAACCCCACCACCCACATCAATGATGGGAAAATCAGTGGGAAATCCCAGGGGGTGGGACTGGCCTCCCGCGCTAGGCAAAGGCTCGCCACAACAGGCAAACAGGAACATCAACAACAAACATTTTATTCACAAAAATAATGACAAAATGACAGTTAGAAAGTGGTGTTTGGAGTTACACTCTCATCAGCGGGAAATAATTACAGTAAATGCTCCAGAAGCAAAAGCCACATACAGGAGATTAGTTCACAGTTTATGCAAGGGGAAAGAGAAAAACCCAAACCCTGTTTTACTCCAGACTTTTACACCCAGGGCTGATTGCACAGGGCAGTGGCTCAGAGACTAATGATCTACACGTGTACAAAACAGGAAAAACAGTTTCTCGCTGCTTCAAACATCAATTGCAGGTTAAAAAAAAAAAAAAGCCATCTAACTGTAGCTGCAAGTGATGTGTAAAAGGAATAATAATATTTTGATTAATTTTCTTAGATAAATGAGCTGCACTCCCGAATGCTCTTCAAAGTTAATTTGCAAGAGCTTAATATTAGGGTTTAATATGTACTGCAGAAGCTGCACATGGTTCCTCCTAATTGCTTGTCCAAGTTTAAATTGAAAAGGCCTTTCCTGGCGGGTGTGGAGCCATGGCAGAAAAAAAAATTAAATAAATCTATGAAACGACCGGCTTTACTGGGAATTAGCAGCAGAGGCAGAGGTGTATTTCTGGGGGCGCATTCTGAGTTTCCCTCTGAGGAGCCAAGAGCAGCTGGGCCGGGGTCCCCCCACAGCCCAGGGCCGGGGTCTCCCCTTCCCCTCAGCCCCCTCCAGGGCTCACGGCCTGAGCGCCAGATCCACGCGAAATATTCTCCTCTGATAACTTGAATTCTCAACGTGTCGTATTTAAATTTCATAAGAAACTGCTTGCAGATTGCTGCACAGTGTTTATGAGTTCCTGTGTACCTCAGAAAATCTTTAAAATCACCACTCCAGCTCGATAACAGGCACAAGCAAGACTCTGCTGCTCGACGGAGCCGGTTTCCAACCTAAAACCACCCCTGAGCGCCAGACACGACGCTGCGGAGAGACGGCAGGAGGGCTGGCTGGTTTGGGGAAAAAAACCTCTAAAATTACCTGACAAAATGCCGAACCTGCCCGTCTTTGTCTCCCCCGGGAATAAGGAAATGGGATTTTGCTCCTGCGTAAAGCGCGTGTATCGGCTGCCTGCGGAGGGAGGAGAGCACTGGGAACGCAGCAGGTGATCGGGCACAGGAAATATTTTGCTTTGTGCAACAAACTGACCTCAAGTTGAGGGGGGAAAAAAACAAAACAAAACAAAACACCAAAACAGTGAGAAAAGAACATGGGAACTGCCCCCCCATGTGAGTTTTCTCTCCCGAAGGCAGGTGCTGCCCGTGGGAGCTCAACCCGTACCCGAGAGCGGGGCAGAGGCGGCCGGTGGCCGCAGCACTCGGGGATTTGGGGTTTGTAGAAGCACCTGGGCAGGGGCAAATGTCGCTCGGATGAGGCAGCGCCACGGAGCCTTCCCCGAATGAGCCCCCCCAGCCCTGCCCTTCGCTGCGCCGCCACAAACCGGGGCTGGGGGCAGCCTGGGGGGTGCCTGAAAAAGCACATCTAGCACAGGAATAAATCACCCGGTTCTACAGGAATTGGCCATCGTTTCTTAGCCGTATTTGCAGTATTTTACCTTCACAGCAGGGATCTCTGTACCTACAGTGACTCGTTTCTCGAGGGAGCGCCCCTCGCTCTGGCCCTGAGGAACAAGAGGGGCCGCCGAGGCCAGGCTGGGCACCTGGAGGGGGTGAGGTGGGGCCCCCAGCACCCTCCAGCCGGGGCTCCGGTCAGGCAGCAAGGCCGGGGCGCGGCTGCGGGTGCCACAGCAAGGCCGGGCTGAAGGCTTTGCTGCTCCTGCTTTGCCCCATCAAACCAACGGGAGTTTTTCATTTCTTGAGAAAGATGACCTTCAAACGCAACTAAACCATTGTTCTGGATGCTGGAATTAAAAGGAATCCAACCCTGGGGATGAACCGGGCGTTGATTTTCACCTCCCAACAGCGACGG